TATATATATTTCTGCACATAAAGGTCAACATGGATCCTGAAAAATCCGATGACGAAGAGGAAACAGCGGGTGAGAAAGAAATTAGTTACATGGATTCACAACTTAACGATTATATTGACAAATTAAATTCAAAAGTCGAATTTGATAAAGTTGCCAAACCGAATAAATTTAATGGTGAAATTTGGACCAAATACCTTAAAACTATCAAGAGTTATTCGGATAAAATGAAACGCAAGAGTAAATAGATTTATGTCGGCAAATTATTTGACCAAGCAAATTCTGTTTTTCAACAATATAAGAATAACAAAGATTTAGATGAAAAGACTCAGAGAAAATGCATAAAAGAAATTATCGAAAAATCTATATCAACAAAAAGTGTTACTCAAAACAAACAATATAAGCAAGTTTATGATCATATAGTTGATTTAATTAAATTATTTGATGATCATGAAATTCTGATAAAAGTTTGGATAATTGAATTGAGTAAAATCTGCATCACATTTTGATTCTTACACGAATCAAATTTTAAAAGAAAGAAAAATAATGAATTATATGATAAATTCATACAAATTTTAATTTCAAACTGTCAAAAATCATTAAAAAGTAATCCAATCTCATGTAATTAATTATAATTTGTAGTATCGTCTTTACGATCTCATTTTTTCATTAAGTATGTAAACAATTTTAAGAGTTTAGTATTTGAATTCAAAATAGTTATATATAATTGATGTTTTTATATGCTAGGATTGACAAATTATTAAAATCTAATGTATTAACTATTCTATGCTTTGTAAATTTGTTGTTAATGAGCTTTTTAAGACCCTTAAGATATGTTTAATTATTTTTATGAACCAATAAATTTTATAACAATATATGGCAAAAATATAATATAGAATTAGTTATTCAGAAATTTTTTTGGTTCTAGTCCAAACAAAGAACAGAACCTAATTTTTAAAAATTAACGAACAAGGGTTCGAACCCGTTCAGTTAATCAGTTTGATAATAAAACTAATGAATGAATTTTTAATTGTTTAGAAATTTTTTTTTGTTCTAGCCCAAATGAAGAACGGAACCTAATTTTTAAAACTTAACGGACAAGGGTTCAAACCCATTCGGTTAATCAGTTTGATACTAAAACTAGAGAATGAACCCGTTTATTAATCAGTTTGATACTAATGCTAAAACTTTGTTATGATATTCATAAAACTATAACAAGCTTTGTTTGAAACTTGCTATTTAATTGGTAGGATTTTTTCAAGACAATGAAATCATGTAGCTTTATTTGTAATTGAAATTTATGAAATATTCAAGTATCTTGTTCCATGACCTTATTTGTGAAACTTATTATTCAATTGGTGCAATTTTACCAAGACAACGAAATTATGCAAGCTTTATTTGTGAAACTTACTATTTAAATTGGTATGATTATTCCAAGACAATGAAATCATGTAAGTTTTATTTGTAATTGGCGCAATTTTTCCAAGACAATGAAATTATGCAAGTTTTATTTGTGAAACTTACTATTAAATTAGTAAAA